CTAGTAAAGATGTGAACACGGAAACCAAGGGACAGGGTTTGCCCCCCGATGCAGCTGCTCCGAGGAGGCCCCAGCTCGAAGGTGCCTCCTCCATGCCCAGCGCAGGCATCAAGCCTCAGCCAGCCCCACCTCCTGTGTCCAGGAACCCCAGGCATGGCCTCTTCCCCAGGACCTCAGCTGGGTGCTGTCTCCACCCACAGCCAGTTCCTCTCCATGTGCCCCCAGGGCCCTGCCCTGTGCAGAGTCTGGGCAGCATTACGGGGAGGGCGTGGCGAGGGCACAGGGAGGGGACAGCCTCGGCCACAGGGACAGGCCAGGCCTCACAGCCAAGAGCCCCAGGGGAGCTGCACGCACACGGCTGGAGGGAGGCTCCGCACCTGAGCACAGCCTGCTGCAACTCCTCATAGATTTGGAAAATTGATTAGAAGGCAGAGGTGAGTTTAGGAGGGTGGCTGTGCACAAAATTTAGTCAAGAATCAGCATCTTTCAAATTCAAGCATTTCCGGTTAGGAGAGACGAAGAAAGAGAAGGCACCATTCTCAACAGCAACAAAAATTGTAAATTTCTAGGAGCAAACAGCGGGCAGATCTATACCTGTTATAGAGGGTCTGAGGCCTGATCAAGGACCAGACCAGCAACAAGCCCGGTCTGTCCTGGGCATCACGAGGTGCCATCCCCTATGCTGGCCGGCTGCCACGGGGGGGCCAATTAAAACACCAGAGAACCCTGGAACCAGGTACATCGATTGTGAAGTTAACGTGGAAAAATAAGTAAGAAAACTAAGGAAATTCGGGAACAAAAGATCCACGAGGGAACTGTTGCCACCAGGCTTTCACACACACCGGAGGCTGCACCTGGTCAGCCCTGTGTGCAGCTGGTACGGGGGCGGTCCCAGTAACAAGATGAACGGGGAACACACTGGCATTACAGACATGTTAAAGGGGACGTTTTTGAATCAGTGAGGGGCTGTGGTCAGATCAACAGTGCAAAGCCCCCTCCCGGGTCTGTATCCTGCAGACAGTCGGGGCCCGTCTAATGTTCTGGGGACTCCTGCACATCAGGCTGAGGTCATGGGGTCATACAGTAGCATTTCTCTGCATTTCTGGCTAATGACTGAGCAGAAGGGATGTGCATCGGCTCCAGGGTGAGGTAGTGAAAAACCAATGTGCTAAAGAACTCTTACAGTTCAGCAATGCAAAGATAAACAACTGAGTTTAAAAATGGGCAAAGGAGGCCGGGCATGGTGGCTCATGCCTGTAATCCCAGCACTTTGGGAGGCCAAGCTGGGTGGCTCATTTGAGGTCAGGAGTTTGAGACCAGCCTGGCCAACACGGTGAAACCACATCTCTACTACAAATACAAAAATTAGCTGGGTGTGGTGGTGCACGCCTGTAATCCCAGCTACTCAGGAAGCAGAGGCAAGAGAATTGCTTGAACCTGGGGGGCAGAGGTTGCAGTGAGCCGAGATCTTGCCACTGCACCCCAGCCTGGGCGACACAGCGAGACTCTAACTCAAAAAAAAAAAAAAAAAAAAAAAAAAAGGGTCAAAAGAATTTGAATGGATGTTTTTTCTAAATAATGTATGCCACCAGCCAACGAGCTCATGACAAGCTGCTTAACACCATTAGCCACCAGGAAAATGCAAATAAAAACCACATGAGACCGCACCTCACACCCACTGGGATGGCTGGAACCGAAAGCATCACAGGTATCACGGCAGAGACACGGGAACCTCACATGTGGCTGTTCTGTTCTTCAAAGTGTGGAGCCGAATTCCATGTGACGCAGCAGTCCCACTCCTGGGAACACGTCCCCGAGAATCAGAAACGTGTCCACACAAAAGCTTATCCACAAATGTTCCTAGTAGCATTATTCACAATAGCCCCAAGGTGGGCACAGCCTACATGTCCATTGGCTGAGGGACAGATGGGCACATTGTGGCCTGGCCCCACACTGTTCTTCACCCGTAAAAAGGAACGAAGCTCTGGCCCATGCTCCAAAGTGGATGAACCTCGCAAACATTTGCTAAGTGAAGGTCAGACGTGGACGGCCACATATCACATGAGACCATTTATGTCAAATGTCTGGAATGGGCAGGTCCATGGTGACACAGAGTAGACTCCCGGCTGCCCAGGGCTGGGGGCGAGGGCATAGCTGGGGAAAAACAGGAAGGGTCTTAGTCCATCCCCACTGCTGTAACAAAACACCTCAGACTGGGTAATTTATAAGCAACAGAAATTTATTTCCTGTAGTTCTCAAGCTGCGGAGTCCAAGAATCCAGGCACTGGCAGGCTGGGGTCTACTGAGGGCAGCTCCGATGGCATATCCAGCCTCACATGGCAGAACTCGGAGGAAAAACAGCCAAGCTAGTTCCTTCCAGCCCTTTTATAAGGGCCCTGAGGGCAGAATCATGGCAAGGGATGGGCCTCTGGGGCACCTTTGGGACCACAGAGCTCACTGCCTGCCTGGGTCTCCCCAGATCCTGGCCCAGCCCTCCTTGGCTGCCCCCACCATGGCTCAGGCAGGCGCAGGCGCAGCTCCACCTGTTGCTCCTGAAGGCGTATGCGGTGGGCTTGGTGGCATGCACACGGTACTGACCCTGCAGGCGACGGTGGCCTCCACCCAGATTTCAAAGGATGTTGCTGACAGTCTTGAGGCCCAGGCAGAGGCTCATCATTGGGGTGGAGCTACCTCGGAATCCCCAGCGGGGCAATGCCCAGTGGAGCCGAGGCAAGGGGGCGGGGACTGCCTCCAAGACCCCAGGACCGCAGGGCCACCAATGACCAAGCGCAGCCTGGGAGAGCGGCAGGCAGGAGACTCCAACCCCCGCACCCTGAGTGGGCTGAGCCCAGCAAAGCCGTGGGGGCCCAGCCCTGTCCCCGTGTGTCTGGAAGGTGGGCAGGGAGTCCAAGATCATCCCCTGTTCATGTCTCCTATGAGTCCTGTCCCTCTAGAGAACGCTGACTCATACGATTTTGTATGTGACGGGGGGAGTACTGGGCCCCGCATGCAGTGCTGTGGTTGGAATGCTTGCATCCTCTAAAGCTCAGGCGGAAACTTAGACCCCGGGCAGTGCCAGGAGGTGGCGCCTGATGGGAGGTGTCTGATCCACTCACGAGGCAGAGCCCTTGTGACTAAAGCCACTATGAAAAGGGCTTGTGGGGCAGGCCCACCCTCCAGCCGGTGAGGATGCCGTGTGCGAGGGACGGTCGTGAAAGAGGAGAACCCGACATGGCCCTGCTGGGACCTTGGCCTCCAGACTGGGAGGCAGGAAGTCTCTGTTGATAAACTGCTGTCTGGCGTTCTGTTGTGGCCGCACTCAAACCGTGGCGGGGAGTGGCTGCTAACAGGCACAGGACGTCTTCTGCAGATGATAAACGTGTTCCGGTATGAGATGAGTGGGAATGGTTGCACAACTTCGTGAATATACTAAAAACCACTGAATTGTACACTGTAAAGGGTGACTTGTGTGCATGTGAATTTCATCTCAACGAAGCTGTTTTGCGGGAGCCAGGTGAAGCATTGTGGAGGCCATGTCCCAAGAAGGCAGCACCGACTGGGCGCGGTGGCTCACACCTATAATCTCAGCACTTTGGCAGGCTGAGGCTGGTGGATCACAAGGTCAGGAGATCGAGACCATCCTGACTAACACAGTGAAACCCCATCTCTACTAAAAATACAAAAAATTAGCCAGCCGTGGTGGCGGGCGCCTGTAGTCCCAGCTACTCGGGAGGCTGAGGCAGGAGAATGGCCTGAACCCAGGAGGTGGAGCTTGCAGTGAGCCGAGATCATGCCACTGCACTCCAGCCTGGGCAACACAGCAAGACTCCGTCTCAAAAAAAAAAAAAAAAAAAGAAGGCAGCACCAGAAAACCAGAAACTGCGCTGGGTCCTCAGTGCGGCAGGTGCTCCCAGGGTGCAGACTGGGTGAAGGCAGCCTTCTCTGGGGTCACATGTGTGTAACAGCACCTTCTCTCTCAGGGCCTCCTCCCTCCCTGAGTGGTTTGGGGGCTATTCCTGTGTCTGATAGCACAGATGCCCTGGTCACAAACAGCTGCCTGCATTGCTGACCACAGGCCTGGCCTGGAGAAACCCACACCCTCTTCAGGGAAGAGAGCAAGGGGCTTGGCAGTGCCTGAAGCCAGTGGGCTGGGGACTCACAACCGGGACACTCAGGGCAGTCAGGGCAGGCATGTGGCCCCAGCGTGGCACAGGGCCAAATTCATGCCCTTTGTCACTGGCCACATACTGTGGGGGAAGGGGCTGGAGGAGTTGGGGCACCTGCATTTGGCCTGCAAGGAATCTGGGTCCTGCTGGCTGTGGGTGACCACAGAGGGCCACGTGGGCAGGGCACATTCATGGGCCCCCCAGGCCAAGCTCGTCAGGGTGAGAGGGGAAGGGCCAGGAAGCCTCAGCCCAGACCAGGTATGGTGGGAATAGTCCACACAGGAGGGGCCAGAACCGTCTAGAAGACCCTGGCACACAGGTCTGCTGCAGCAGAGCCAGGAGGGCACGGGGGTGCGCATGTCCAGGGCAGAGGAACCACGTGGGGCTCAGTCAGCAGTCGGGGTCAGGCCTGGTTGGTGGCACTGAGGACCCTGAAGGCTTGGCCCCACCTCTGGGAGCTGGGCTTCCTCCACACGGTCACAGCAAAGGTAGGGACCAGAGGGGGCCAGAGACACGGGGGACTGCACCCCACCCTCTCCTCGCTGCTCCCCTTCCCCTTACCACCCTGTCCAGTGGTGTCCGCGCAGATGGGAGGGTTGTGAGGGGCGTCCACACCTGGCCTGCAGCGGCTGCCCGGCTTCCTGCTAGGGAGATGGGGCCAGTGCTGATGGGGAACAGCTGTTGTGGGGGCAGCCAGAGGAAACCACGTTCCCGCGGGGTGAGCTCATGGTTTACGAGTTCCCTGCCAGATCCATAACATCCTGGAGGCAGAAGCGCAGAGGCCAAGCCTGCCCCTGCCTCCGCTGAGCCTCCCCTGCTCTGACACAAGGGCCACTCAGCCATCCTCATTCAGCCTGCACCTCCTGTCCTGAAGCTCCCTCCTCCCTCCGCGTGCTCCCCCCGTCATTTACGCACCGGCCCCGACCCACCCTGCTCACTCACCCCTGAAGCTTCTCTGGGTCCTGGACTCCGTTCTGCAGGCTGGATGCCTTCTCAACTGTCCATGGCGCCTGCCTGGTCTCTGGGGTGTTCAGTGAGGGGTGACCAGGAAGAACGTGTTGGAGACAGTGGACAGGGAAGCGTCTCTGTCTCTCACCCCTTAACTCACAGCAGCCCCACTGGGCGGGCACAACCATCACTGCAGCCGCAGATGTAGAAACTGAGGCACACAGACGCGATGTGGCTGCCCCTGTCTGGTAACTGGTGGCCGGGATTGGAGCCTGGGTCCAAGCTGCCTGTTTTTTCTTTCCTAGGCCATGCACCTTTCTCCTGGGATAACTGGAGGTGATTTCATGGAACCTGGAGGCTGGGCTTCAGGTTGGCAGGAGAGGCTCCCGGCTGGGCCTTCTCCGTGGCTCTGCTCCCTGCTCTCCTTGCTTGAGCGGTGGGGGCCCTGCGTCCTCTCACGCCCACCCCCACCTTTCTTGCAAAATTGTCGGAGGCTTTTGTCACCTGGAGACACTGTTCCTGCCAGCTCCGGCCCCTTCTCCTGCGATGGCGTTGCCTGTCCCTGCGCAGCAAGCCCATCTTCCAGCCAGGCCAGGCCCTCACCAAGGGCTAACCACGGAACGCATGTGGCAACATGGGCCATGTCTCACATGTGGTCTTGGAAAACATGGCCTCTACCCTCCTTTCCCTGCCCAGGCCCCTCCTGCCAGCTGGACGTGGGCACTTCTGCACCCATTGGAACCTCGCAGCCAGGAAAGATGCCTAGAAGGCTAGAGGAGAGGCATGATTGGGGGACCCCATGTGTGGTGACAGAGCAGCCCACCCAGCCGTTCTCAGCCACCATGTGAGAGAGAAATGATGCCTCCATCGAGTTCCCCATGCCCGGAGCTGCTCCTTACAGCATCCTAACCTTCACCCCAACTACTCAGTTGCCATGGCAAATGGAATATTTTGGCTCTTTTTTTTTCTTTAATTCCCAAGTGATTATTGCTAGAGGAGTGAGAAGTTACTAATTTTTGTATATTCATCTTGTATTAAATGTTTTTTACTGATTTTTAATTTTAATTTTTTTTGAGATGGAGCTTCACTCTTCTGGCCTAGGCTGCAGTGCAGTGGTGCGATTTTGGCTCAGTGCAACCTCCGCCCATGGGTTCAAGCGATTCTCGTGCCTCAGCCCCCCAAGTAGCTGGGATTACAGGCATGCATCACCATGCCCAGCTAATTTTGTGTTTTTAGTAGAGACAGGGTTTCACTATGTTGGTCAGGCTGGTCTCGAACTCCTGACCTCAGGTGATCTGCCCACCTTGGCCTCCCAAAGTGTTGGGATTACAGGCGTGAGTCACCGCACCTGGCCTGATTTTTAATTTTTAAATGAGGGGGCAGAGGCACAACTAGGTTTACAATCATGTCATCAACAAAATAAATTGTCTTATTTTTTCTGATGTTTGTGCCATTTATTTGGTTTTCTTATTAAGTTTGCCGGAACCTCCTAGAAAATGCTGGACAATTGTTACAGCAGCAGGCCCCACGAGTTGACCCTGGATTTGTGACATTTGTGTTTCCACCTACAACGATCTTGGCCATTGTGGACACAGACTTTTGCACTTTTTTCTATTTTACTAGAAATAGAGCTTTTATTCATAATGATTGCTGAATTTGGTCAATTTTCTTTTCAGTACCTGTCGATGGGGTTCTCTGAATTTTCTGTGCTAATTGGCTAATGAAATGATGTCTCTGATTGCTGGGCTGCCCTCGTAAGCCTGGCCTTCATCTGCTTGGCCATACATGATGCCATGGAAGCTGCGTTGGGTCCTATTTGCTGTTCTCCTGTGTAGAATCCGCTGATGCGGCGTTGAGTCCTATTTGCTATTCTGTTAGATCTTTTTGCATCTTCTGAAAGTGATATTTGTCTATGGTTTTCTCTTTTTGTTCCACATCAGGTTTTTGAATTAAATTATCCTGGTTTCATGAGATGAATTACAGAGTTTTCCATCCTTTCATGTCTTGGGAAGGTTAAAGTAACCCTGGGATGACTTTCTTTCCATGGAAGGTGAGGTCATCGTCAGCTGCGGACATCTGCTCCTGGAGCCTCCTTTCCTGGCTCAGCTGTCACCCTCTCCAGCTCCTTGTGCTCATCTCCGCGTGGTGCCGCTTGTCCAGAGTCATTCTGGACTTCACACCCAGGACAACATGGTCTGCTGCTGCAGGTTTCCAAGCAGCTGCCCCGGCCGAGTGGGCTGTCTCATCATTTCTCCAGCCTCTTCCATACTGGGGTCTCCTTCTTCCTAATCGTGTGTGGGTTTTTCTATTTCAATGTACATAAATTCTAAATATAGTCACTTATTTATTTAGTTTTCGTTTTTGTGGTTTTTTTTTTTCCTTTTGGAAACAGAGTCTCACTTTATCACCCAGGCTGGAGTGCAGGGTCACGATGTCAGTTCACTGCAGCCTCTGCCTCCCAGATTCAAGCAATTGTTCTGCCTTAGCCTCCCGAGTAGCTGGGACTATAGGCGCACACCACCACGCCCGGCTAGTTTGTGTATTTTTGCAAATACAGGGTTTCACCGTATTGGCCAGGATGGTCTCAAACTCCAGGCCTCAAGCGATCCACCCACCTCTGCTTCCCAAAGTGTGGGCATTATAGACGTGAGCCACTGTGCCCAGCCTAGGCAGTCATTTCTTGATGCAGCTTTTGGGCTGGGCAAGGGGATTTTATTTTATTTCAGAAAAACAATCATTTCTCCTCTTTACTTATTTGTTTTCTACTTCATTAATTTCTGGCTTTATCTTCATAATTCTCCCTACTTTTTAAAATGCACTTTCTTGTTCTCATTTTAGTTTCTTAGGATGGCACAAAGCCCCTCCCGTTTATTGTTTCCTCTAAAAAACAAGAGCTGTGCTGGGGGCTCTGGACGCTGCATTAGCTGAGTCCTCAGCGCTGGATCAATATTTATGGTTTCTTGGCTTTTCAGAGAGCACACATTCAGATTTAATATCCTGTTTTACCCAAGCGCTACCTGGGAGTGTGTTGGTTTCTAAGTTTTGGGGCGAAGAGGTGGCACTTTCTGTTATTTATTTTACAATATTTGGATAATACGATCATTTAAATTATTCTACTTTTTAGTTCCTTGAGGTTTTCTTTGCAGCCAATACACAACAGACATGGACTTATTGGAAGATGGAATGTTTAGAAGCTCTGTTTCCTGTGAGGAACGTTCAGAAGCACCGTTTCCTGTGAGGAACGTGAGCATGACCATCCATATCGATCTGTCTGCATTTTTCTGTCGCCACTAGACCTAATTATGGAGAGAGAGACATGGAGGGAGCTCCTGTGACCCTCAAGTCCCTTCATCGCGTCCCCTTCCAGTTGGCTTTCCGAGTTTAGCTCCCATGTTGTTTGGCTCATGGAGGTTTATGTCCTCTATCTCGGTCATCGTCCCCCCCTCCCCGGTGTGCCCACCCACGTCACAGGCCCCACTCAGCCCCGCTTCCTCTCCCCTTGGCCTCACCTTGATGTCAGGGGGGTGTCCTCTGCTCCGACTCATGGGCAGTGGCTGGCTTCCTTCCAGTACTTTCTCTGGATAATGCATAGGGATGACATATCTTCTAGTGTCTGCTGTTGCGCTTACCGGTGACATTTCTGGGCTGGTGTGGGATGCCTGGGATGCAGCCGTCTCCCTGGTGATTGTGGATGACGTTTCACTGTCCCCTGCTTCTGGTGGCACAGATGAGAACTCCAGGCCTCGTGCTCTCTCTGCTGGCACACACGTCTTCCCTCCGTGCTGGCTGCACACCCGCCCATGGGGTTTCTGCAGGAGAGGAGACAGCCAGAGGCCCAAGTGGGGTGTGTGGCAGGCAGGCAGCAACCCTGGTCACCGTGGTGGCCTCTGCCCTGCATCTCGACAGCAACCCTGGTCACCGTGGCGGCCTCTGCCTTGTGTCTCAGCAACAACCCTAGTCACTGCAGCGGCCTCTGCCCTGCGTCTCGCCAGCAACCGTGGTCACCATGGCAGCCTCTGCCCTGCGTCTCAGCAGCAACCCTGGTCACCGTGGCGGCCTCTGCTCTGCTTCTCAGTGCTGCCTGGTGTGACCCCCAGGGTCTTGGTCGGTATGAGGCCACACAGCTCACGTGCACTTCCCCTAGCTGCTTTCACAGCAGAGATGAGAGGTCCCCATGGAGCTCACATGGCCCCTAGAGACTTGCAGACCCTTGTGCTGTCAGATAGAGGAGGCTGAGGTTCAGAGAGGCACAGTCACCTTCTTGAAGATGCACAGCCATGAGTGAAGAAGCTGGGATTTCTCCTGGTCTCTCTGACCCTGGAACATGTGGCCTCTGGGTGTGCCCAGTAAGAGACATTAAAGAAGGGCCTCCCCCATGAGCCCTGACTGAGGGGGGCACCAGGCACCCCGTCAATGTGCTTTGTGATTCACAGAGGAGAAGGCAAAGGGCATGTCGGGGGTGGGGATGGGGCAGCCAGAGGGGGCGGTCCTGGCCTATGTGAGCCTCCTTTGGGGGAGGGTGCCAGGAACTACCCCATGATCCTCTATTCTCATGTGAGCCACAGGACCCCAACCCAGATCCCCATAGCAAAGGCAAAGTCAGCAACTCAACAAAGCACATGGCCAGGCGTGGGGCTCACTCCTGCAATCCCAGCACCATGGGAGGTCGAGCAGAAGGATGGCTTGAGGCCAGGAGTTCGAAACTGGCCTGGGCAACACGATGAGACCACTCTATAAAAATAAAAATAAAAAATTGGCTGGGTGTGGTAGTGCATTCTTGTAGTCCCAACTACTTGGGAAGCTGAGGTGTGGGCATCCTGGGGCTGGGGTTCTCCAAGGGTGGGGGGTCCTGGGGCGGGGCATCCCAGGGCTGCGGGCCATGACCAGGTTTTGCACCTCTGCCTGCTGACGGCCCTGGGGCTGTGACGGCGATTTTGCATGGAGCCCACCCTGCAGCCCTGCTTGCTGAGGGCTACTCAGGAGGGGCTGCGGCAGTGCCCACCCACATGTGGAGCCCGGGATGCAGCCCCCACCCACCCAACCTCTGGAGCTGTGCCTGGAGCCGGGGGGTTCGGGTGCCATGGCAGCCTCCAAGGGGCTGAGGACTCAGGGAGGGTGCTGGAGGCTGGCCGGCCTCTGAGGGGCAGGGGGCCGCCAGGGCCACCAAGCTGGTGCACCCACCGAGGGGCCGGGGCGCTGCTTCTGTTGCCTGTGGGAGTAGTGAATGGTAGAGAGTGAAGTGGTTCCTGCGAGGCTGGCCACACACCAGTGGGACCTGTCCTGGGGCCGCAGGAGATGCGGGAGTGGGCCACTGAGTCACGGGCACCAGCCTTGGGCCATCTCCAGAGGATGGCGGTAGGGGCAGAGCCCAGCAGGAGGTGCTGCACGGGGCGCCCTCCCTGTGGCCCTGGGCCCTGAGCCGCTGGCTGTGAGGTGGAGCTGCCGGCTGTGGGGTTGGAGGCGCCGGCTGTGAGGTGAGGCTTCTGCCGGCTGTGAGGTGAGGCCTCTGCTGGCTGTGGGGCTAGATGCGCCGGCTGTGAGGTGATGAGGCCTTTGCTGGCTGTGGAGTTGGAGGCGCCGGCTGTGGGGTTGGAGTTGCCG